GGAGATTGTTGTGGTCATATGCTAAAATCACTTCCTCTATAATCTCCTGCATTAAAAACTACTTCCGTTATATACTAAGTAGTATTCAATCCTTCAACTTATTGTTAATATACAGAGTGAGGCACCGAAAACAAAACAGGTCGAATATCTGCAAAATATATTCTTTCTGAAAAAAATGCAAAAACACGTCGATTTGTAATCCAAGGGCGACATCTTTCTATCATAACCTCAATAGTCATACTTTTCCCCCCAACCCTCGGTCACTATCACCCAAACAACTTGAATAGGGAAAGTAGTAAGTGTGACACATCATTAAAAAGGTAATTTCATGAGGATTTCGGCCATGTCAATTTTCGATACCTGAACTTTCTATTTTGGCACCCTCTTGCGGTGGAAAACTGTTCCGTATTCCAAATTATGACACTTCATTTGCAAGATAATTTGACATAAATCCGGCGACAATGCATGGAGAAATATTTTTGAGGTAGGAAGAAAATGGCGACTCCACAATGGCGGACAAGATTAGCAATTATGGTCCGATTTGATTCACAATTGATGAGTGGTGGTTTTCAAATTATGCTTTGCAAAAGCACATTATGATGGTTCGAAGATGGCGGACGGAATTTGTAATTATGATCCGAATCGAATCAAAATTAGTATGTGGGGATTTTCAGGGTAGGAAATTATGACTGTTTTGTTGATGCAAATAGATGGCGGACGATACTTGTAATTGTGGTTCGATTTGATTCAAAATTGGCATAGGGGGTTTTACAAGTTCCCAGTATGACTAAAAAGTATTATTTGAATCGATAAAAAAAAGGTTTTATACTAATGCTGATCAATTTTGAATCAAGTTGGACCACAATTGCAAATCTTGTCCGCCATTTTGTTTTTTCTTTTAGAAAAATTCCATAATACATTGTTACCAAATTACTGTCAAGTTAGGTTGCAAATGAGAAAAAAAATGTTTGAAATATGTTTTTTCCCTTGGTCAGCTATCGCACCTCTACGAACGACAACCCTCAAAAGTCGAAAGTTCTGCGAACTAAGGACCAACGAGGTCTTACCTTTCAATGTGTGATTCCTAATACGGACAGTTGAGGTTATGATAGAAAGATGTCGCCCTTGGATTACAAATCGACATGTTCCTGCATTTTTTTCGGAAAACATGCGTTTTGAAGATATTCGACCTGTTTTGTTTTCGGTGCCTCACCCTGTATTTGCCAAAGGGGGCAAATATATGGAGAATGGAACATTATTGGCAAAGCTTCTGGAAAGTTATAAAAATTCATATCAACAACAGAATTATGATTTCTTATGGTAGTATGTTAACCCATCCAACATTCAACATTTAGTTAGTGAATACTCTGAGTGTTATTGAAATGGTGGCTGATTTTATGAGAAGTAATGTTTTTTCAGTTATGGGTTCATCAATGTTGATGAATTGTTGAGAAACTCACTTCAAATTTAAGATCAAATGATTCTGAAATGATGTTTTTGAATGAATGTGTATTTTAGGAATTCCACAGTTCCTCGAGATGTTATACGAATGGATAGGACACAAATAAATCTTCTATCAGTGAGTGAAATAGTACTATTCACTTGTTTATACACCAGACCACATTTGATTGTAGAAATTCACGAACTGAAGACAGAACATTCATTGTAGAAAAACACTAATTACATCCATATATTGATTTTCATTTTATACTTCCGTTACACTTACACACTAATGATTTTTCCTGGCAATGTTCAACATTAACAAGTGAACAAACCTGTGGACCCATAAAAAAATCAGAATTATATTTCAGTAACACTCCTAATATGTTTGGTAGGCTCAATTGAAAACATATATCAAACACAAAATTATTTACCGAAAATTATGAAATTTCAATTTCTAATTTATTGAAAGTGAGTTAGTTGAATTTGTTGATTAAACTACTTTCAGGTATTCGGCCTCCAAATGTTGAAATAACCCTTCTTCTATACTTTCATTTGGCATTTCAGTGAAGAAATACCATTTCTATACGTCGTCATTTTTTGTGAAATAGAAGGTATATGGAAACATTTGAAAGATTGAAATATTTTTGATTTCATAGTGAAATATCGAACGAAACTTAAGCATTGACTTCCATTAGAATTGATAATAATATACATCCACTGAAATATTTGAAGCCTGAACGTGAGAACACGAAGAATTCTCATGTTTCATGAGAATTTTCGTAATTCGAAACTCAATTGAATAAATTTCCGTACTCACTTACTTACTTAAAGTCAGGTTTCTGAGTAATTGAAGTTCAATTACTACTAGTGTGTAATTACTACTTTAGCACTTTTTAACGTCATGTTTATCAGAGTCATCATTGATTATAACATTTTATAATGATTTTGATATTTGGGTGTGACTTTTTTTGATATTTTACCAACCACCCAATTCTCAAACTATTCGAAATCAAAATATCATAACAGAAACTGGAAATATTTTGAATGACTTTCATGAGTGACTTCTTGTTGCTATTACTCTCATTTGGGATATCCTTCACAAATACATTCTTATTTTTTAATATTTCCTGTATATGTCATGGAAAAAGTATAGTACTCTATTGACGAGAAATAGTCACTACTGGAAGATTCACGGAAGAATTCATCTTCACATATGACGATCACACTGAACTACATTTTTGTGTTCTTTATAATAAACGGCAGATGAAACTTATATCGACTGTGCTAAATTTACATAAAAGAGTGAAAAAATATAAATACTATCATATGAATGCAATATTGTATATGTGATTGGAACATTTGTGATTTTTGATTCACGTCTTAGGAATACATTAATAAGAAAAACATATCATTTCAAATTTGAAGGCCAAATTTTTGAAAATAGTTCGATTCGAAAATATACTCAGGTGCATTTTCAGTTCACTTTTGATAATTTGTTTTCAACAAATAAGAGGATATTCATCTCATAATGATTAACAATAAAGAGAATAATACACACTATATCGATTGTTATGTTTCTATCGTTTAGATTTGAAACACCTTTTGGAGAAGTACAGCTCTTGGATAATACTCAAAACCATTTAGTAAGCAAGCTTGATTCATTCCTTTATTCAGCTTGGTTTATTCCTTTATTCAACGGTTGAGAAAGAAAACAATAAACCAGTTTTTCAATCCCGGATGTTACCTCCTGTAGCTTCGACAATAGCTTTCATTCGCCGAGGCATTCCACGAACTAGTATTCGAATACATTCTTTGAGTTCATTTTTGTTGGTAGTTTTTCGGCACTTTTCACCTAGATAGTCCCAGATAGGATTTGTTTTCAGGGATTATGCTTGATCGTGGCATATGATGCTGCAACGCTTTATTCAATAATTCATAGATTTGAAACGAATCGTGATATCCAGAGGAACGAAAAAACAATGTATAGGAAATGAACCAAGCTTGCATACAGGATAATTTCTAGTGTCATTCAAAAGTGTAATACCTAGCAAAAGCTATGTATGTTAGTATGGAAATTCAAACGATGTTTGTTATTCTCTTTTTAGTGTTTTTCTTTGTCTATTTTGTTGAATGATTTTTCTTTGTTTCTCCATTATTTAATAGAGTATTTTTTAAGGTTCAAAGCCGGCTTTTATTTTAAAATCTAGCATAGACCTCCTCTTCGTGCAGGAGGCCGAATTCGAGTTCATTTCGGAATTGCCTTGATATTCAGCAGCCGCCAAATTAATCTGACAAACTAAGTACGGTAATAGAAAGAGGGCACAAAAGGTTTTTGTTTAAAGGTGTTTGACAATGTTTCATGATGCATTTCATTAGTTCCGACTTCCATTGTCTGATATTATATAAAATGATTTGAAATCCCTGAAAGAACTAAAAAAGGAGAATCAAAAATTGAAGAAAAAGAATTGAAAATGAATAGCTGAAAAATAACAATTATAATAAACAAAAAAAAACGGAAATGAAATGATAGTGGAATAAAATACAAGTAAAAATAGAACAATTGAAAAAAATTAAAATGAAAGTTAAAAGGTTTCAGGCCAAGTTACTTCACGACGTTTCGATTGCTAGTATCCACAATCATCTTCGGGTGATGACTGGACTGATTCCTCCGAGAGATGACTATTAATGGGTCATATAATTCTTAACCTTGGAAGTAACGAAAATATTAGTTTCTGGTCAAAATTCGATTGTTGTATGATTTGGTATGATCAAATAGCATGTCAATTCATTTACCATCTTAAACGCGTAGTATTTGCTTGGTTTCTATGGCAGGAAAAATGAATGCGTTGTTGATATCTGTTGAGAACTGTCAGACGTTTATGAATTTATCAAAGATGTATTCACATGATGAAAGTACTGATATGCTATTTAGTTATTGGTCAGTTACAAAAATTATGCTAATCTAGATTGTTCTTTACGAGAAATTTCCCACGAAATAAGAATTTCTGTAAAATCCACCGGAACTATTTTGAAAAAGTACAAATATATATGCTACAGGATATACAAAGTTCATCACCTCAATGAAAGGGATATCGACCCTCTCAAACAAAAAATAAGAGATGCATGTATTAGTATTACATCTATTATGCTAGAAAATTGCCACAGAAATTGTCTGGACCGACAACTTATGTGCATAAATTGCCATGTAGCTTTGATTTTCCGTTTTGGTTTCATTTTTCCCAATAGTTCAAGATAAAATGAATTGTTTTTTTGTTTGATTGTTGTTACTGATGATGGTGGGCATTTCATATGGAACGCAATAAAAATATCAAATGTGATATACCCTTGGATTGTGAATTTATCGCTTTATCAATTTCTGTAATGGAAAAGGACAGGTCTGTATTTAAAAAATTAGTTGATGGTGGCCATAATTGTAAAACCATTCCGGATTTACTACAAAAGCTGTATTTCACCAAAAAGACAGAGACATAACTCCATTTTCCTCGTATATTATGAATAAATCGGACATTATCTAAAAATTTTTTCAATATAAATGAACCTGGGATAGATCCTCCTATAAATTGAAGAAAATTGTCGTAATAGGACCAAAAATAAAGAAGTTATTCGATGTCAAAATTTGTTAACATTTCAAGGTACCGGTTTTTATACACCTGAGTGTGATAAAATTTCATATATGTTATTTCCAACTAACATGTACCCGATTACTGACTTTTATTTCGAACAGAAGTGTTTGATGATGCATCTCAAATCAGCCTCCCTGAATCCTATTATCAGTTATCTCACGTCGCGGTAGCACTAACACTTTGGTCATTATTGCATACATATCACAAATATGTGTCTGTTCCGTTTGTATTTACACGAAAGAGCTCGAGGACGATGGCCATCCTCCAAGGATTCCTTGCGTTTCAATGTAACGAATGCAGGGTGTGAAAGGGGTGCTCTTTCACGCTCGGAGACCATTTATTAGCTGAAACAACACAGGTCCATTAGTATTCTGCATAAGAGGTCTTGCGAGGTGTTTTACCTTTGTAATACATCTCCTTGTGCATGGAAGGACAGTTGGCATTCTGAAACAAAGACGTCGTGTTAGTGAAATGGAGGAAGTGCAGAGAGGAAAATTGAATATTGTTTTCGATTCGGGTTGGTCTAAAAGGGGTTTTGACTCACGGATTGTTAGCGATTTTGTAAAATATATATTATTCGAATCATTTTTGAGTGCTTTTCAATTTGTACATCCGGTGTACAGAGTGAGCCAAATTGAGCACTTTCAAAGGGAAAATGCTGTTTTTAAACTGCATAGATGAAAACTGATGTTTGTGTCTGAGGGTCAAATTTTATGACAAACTTAATGGTGAAAACCGTATATTGACAGCTGTTATCATTTCTGAGTTGGATCATGTTTTTCAAAAATGAGTGCAAGATGTCTTGCTTCTATTAAAATATTTTCAAAGCACCCTTTCATGTGAAATCCAATGAGATAACAATAGTTATTAATGGAGAAAAATTTCTTCTAATGAGACACAGTATATATTTCTACACATTTCAATAGAGCTTAAAGTCACCTTTCCAAAAATCAGTAACTATTGATATCTCATTTCAAAAAATAAGTTCTTAACACCACTGTATTCGACGTAAAAAAGAGCTTTGAAAATGTTCTAATGTGAACAAAAATTCTTTCAACAAGAAAAAAAGTTACAGCAACTTTTGGAAAATACACATTTTCAATGATAGATATCGATATGCAGTTTTCACCGTCAAGTTTGTCACAGCCATTAGTGTTTATCTATCTAGTTTGTGAACAGAAGTTCCCTTTTGAAAGTGTCAAAATTTTCACACTCTATACATGCGTTCCTCTTCGATATTATCACGATGTTTGGACAGGACCCCACCTGCCATATTCATGTGCTCTGCTTGGTAGCTGAACTTGAAACTGAAATCATTCTTGTCGATGAATTGAACGCGTACTCACATCATCATCCTGCGTATATACAAGCGATAGACAAGACACAACATATCAAGAAATTAAAGATATACAAGGAGATTTTCAGCAGAATGGATACATAAAACTCATTTTCTTCTGCTGAAAGATGTTATGCAAATGTAGAATTGGTATTTTCATTCACGAAACTACTTATATGCTCTTCATTTCTCTGGGAAAAAGTTCTCCTTGTATGTCCAATATAGAGTTTCGGCAAGAGCCACAAGTCAACTTTTATACTCCTGATCCAAGCAATCCTTTTTTTGGGTTCAAAAAGATATAACATTACCATACAGCAGACGCTGTCGTTCCTTGAAGTTGGGTAAACCTGTTGCATGGCGTATAATAATAAAATTTTTATCTGTCAAGCTCCCATTGTACTACCTGGACTGAACATTCTCGGTCCCAACACATATATGACGCTAGTCCAATTGCATTCTTCACTTCTTCAGTTAGTACTAACCTTCGAAAAGAAGCTGTCGAAATTTCATGATATTTTACTGATAAGTTTGTGTGTTGTTGTGCTAAAAGTGACACTACTTTTCTATTTTCGAAACAATACCGATTTTCGAGTCAGAGTGAGTAGCCGTAATGTGATTTCGTCAGAAAATACTAAATTCCTTGGTACATATGTTGATAGTAACATGACTTGGGAGTCAGCTGTGAGTCAGGTCAGAAAGAAAGTGAAATGTGGTGAGCTGATTTCGATCAGGACAACTAGTTGATTTCAAATAATAGTTAATCTGCGCTCGCGCTGTCCTCTATCTCAAAAACGATTCAACGTATGAAAAAATGTTTGAAACAAAAGTTGCAGAGAATTTAATTCTCTACAATATTGATGATGAATACAATTAGCATAAAACCCATTGGGAACACAATATTGGCAAAAAAAGTGCAAAAAGTCGTTTTTTTTTTTACTTTTGACCCCCAATTTTTGAAGTTGTGGTCGTCGAATCATATGTGAATTTTGAGAATACTTTCATGATGCCAAAATATGAAGTTTATACAAATTTACAGTGAGGTGTGTCCACTTTCCTAAGCAAACCCCCTAAAATTACTGGACTATATCTTCATCAAGAGCTACACGATTATTTCAGCGTCGCTCTTACATTTCAATACAACTTTTATGAAACGATTCATCTTTTGCCTTAGCATAGTCATCAGTTTCAGCAATAACCTCTTCATTCGAGAAAATTTCTCATCGGTGAACATTTTTTTAAGGTCTGCCGGTGGTTGTGGTTCAAGATGTGGATGCAGAAAAGCGGGGTTGCAATGCTCTTCAGCTTGTGGCCACTGTAATGGGCAAGCTTGTCTCAATGCTGTACCATATGAGACCGATGTTAACGAAGATTGGTCCTTTGATCCAGAAATCATGGAAGAATTGGAAACGAATTTTGGTGAAGATGACAATGAAGATGATAACGCCCTTGAATTTTTACAGCTGCGAGAAGACGACGACGATGAAGAAGAAGAAAATTGAAATTGAAACTCAATATTCTTTCAATTATTTTATCTGTTTTTTTAATCCTGTCATTCACAAATGTATCAAATGGGATTTTTTAATAAAAATATCATTTATAATTTTATTTCTTTTCTATTCATTTTTATAAATTAAAGAATGATTACTATAGATTGGATTTGAATTACAATGTAATAAATATTTTTCCCTCTACAAATTTATAACTACACGGGCAGGTAAGTGTTAATAAATAAATTGATACTTGATTGAAAATGAATAATTGATGAAAAAATATTCAAATATATTGTATTTGTTAATAAAAAACGAAAATCATCTATAATTATTTATCAAGTAATAATTTATAAACCTTAAACGAGCTGATTTCGATCGGGAAAACCAGTTGATTTCAAATAGAATTTAATCTGCGCTCGCGCTGCCCTCTATCTCAAAAACGATCCAACGTATGAAAAAATGTTCGAAACAAAAGTTGTAGAGAATTCAATTATCTACAATATTGATAATAAATACATACAATTAGCATAAAACCCATTGGAAATGAGATATTGGCAAAAAACGTGCGAAAAGTCGGTTTTTTTGACTTTTGACCCCCGATTTTTGAAGTTGCGGCCGTCGAATCTTATGTGAATTTTGAGAATACTTTTAAGATGCCAAAATATGAAGTTTATTCAAATTTATAGCTGGGTATGTCAACTTTCCGAAATACAGGCCTAAATCGACCTAAAATGACTGGAAAAATCACGTTGATGAGTAAAGCTAATTTTGAACAAAAAAACGCGTTTTTTTTTCTTAGGCCCGGAAGTCTTTATCCCATTTGTAGTATATAACTTCTTGTGGTTCTCCAGAGAAAATTGCTTCGTTTTTATCTATCATTAGCAATACAATTCTCGAAAGATGGACGGGAATTCAAAAAACTGCACTTTTTCAAACTTCATTAGCACCAAGATATCTTCAATCCTCAGATTGCAGAAATTTCGAAGTTTCATTATTTTCTTCCGTATGGAGACCACTAAAATGTACTAAATTCAGAATTATTCATTTTAAGCTTCGTGTGCCAAAGATAACAATCCTCCTCACCTTCAATTATTTCTTTAAACATATAATAACATGTTCCAGTTTGAAGTTTAAAGAGTAGAGGAGATGAGAAATTGAATTTTAACATACGAATGACAAATATACTACATTCTATGTAATTTTTGCAAACACGAAATACTTTCCAAACTGTCACACAAATTTTCATTGTTACTATACTGAACAAGTAAATATAAATTCAATAAGGGTTCGAGTTCAAATTACACTCGAGTAAGGTGACATGTGTACATGCAGTAAACAGCCAATTGTTGGTGAAATAAAATACACGCAATTAATGTATACCAGCGGTCCTTAAAGACCAGTGTTGTTTCCTTTGAAGAACTGGTATCTTGGTCGCAAATCGCCCCTAACATTCCTCTAGTCAGTGCTAATGTGCACTTTGCATGTTTCGAGGCGAGTATTGTCGTGATAAATGACTTCGGGGCTCTTTGAGGTAAGACATAGTTGATGAGGGATTTCGAAGAACACAAGTGGCTTATTTTCAAGCCATCAACAATGATTTGGCGGATAAATTGTGAGAAAATGTGGGGTCCTTTTAGTTTCATCATTATTTCTTTCGTTAAGAGCGGATTTTTGAAGATGTGTTCAATGATGTGCACGTAACATTTGATTTTATAATACCACCGATGCTACTATGAGTGTTGTCAGAGGCATAGTTGAGAAACTATGTGGGGGTAACCCTATTGGATCTGTTAAAGGCCTTTGACTGTGTTTCCCACAGCATTTTCCTCGAAAAACTGTCATATTATGGTGTAAGAGGTACTCCTTTGGGTTTGATTGCAACTTACCTGAATAACAGTTTTTTATAACAATACGTTTTCTGAGCTGAAGCCGATCGACCTAGGTGTACCGCAGGGATCGGTTTTGGGCCCGCTTTTGTTCGATATTTACATCAATGATTTTCACAACTATATGAAGCCATGTCACAGTGTACTATTTGCTGACGATATACTCTTCTATGAATTATTCGGCTCTTGTTGATAAGTCTATGGAAATACAAGAAAAAGCGGAGCACTGATGAATAAGGAATAATCACAAAACATGATTATTTCTATGGCTCTGCCATTACCTGAATTCCAGTGTGTCAAATTATTGGAATTTACTCTTGACAATAGGCTAAATTGGTCCAGCCACATTTCAAGTTCGAAAAGTAAGCTATCGAGTGCCCTATTTTCACTTAGACAGCTGAAACCAATAACAAATTTCACTACAGTCTCACATAAAGAGATTTTGGGACCGATTAGCCTTGATAAGTACAATATACCCCTAACTCGATCAGTCTATAAGCAAACCAGTATCATTTTCCATACCATGAAATAAACCCATTCTGCCAGAAGTCCATAGATCTTCTTGCCATTCAGGTTTGTTTGGCAAAGACTACAGCGATGCCAATGACAGGTACTGGCCCGATAAAGCTGCTTACAGCACCCTCCTTTGCAAGGGAGTCAGCACTCATTGCCTGGCTAGAATGGCCAGTATGGCCAGAGACAATCTGTTGAGACTTTATATCGAGGAGAGTC